AAAATATTACCTTATATGTACCGATAACCTTGCTTAATAAAATTTCCCGTGGTCTATTAATGAAACACACTGTTCACTTAGATATGAACACATATGTGGTAAAAAAAAATGAATTTAATATCCAGGAACTGGGTTAATATCAAAATATTTTTAAGTAATTTTTATTTAAAAAACAAAAAAAGAAAATATTTTTATTATCCTTGTTTTACCCATCTCTTTCTTTTTTTTTAAAAATTCAAAAATATATACGAATATAAAAAATACTTAAATGTATTTTATGTTTTTGTATGTAAAATAATATTATTTTCAGGAAATTTAAATGACAGAAGGAGTCCAAAAATAAAATTTATACAAAAAAATGAACCACTTTAAAAATGCATTTTTTATTATTTTTTATATTTTTTGTTTTTTAAACCGAAAACAAGTGAAAATAAAGTTGGGTCAAACCAATGGTTTGTATTGTAGCACTTTTCCCTTCAACAAGTGAAAATTCTGCTTTTAAATACAGTCTATGTATAGCTATCACACTATTAAAAATATTTTCATTCATATACAAAACTATTTCTAGGATTGCATATATTTAGGATGACGCATATATGCAGTCTTTGAAATAAAGCAAAAATTAATATAAAAAGGAGTTAACATAATGCTTGATTTTAAGGGTTAATTGTGTGAGTTAAGAAAAATAATTATATTTTTTAATTTCACTGAATTTACCGTTAGCTTTTTGCGTTTACAGAAATTTGGAAAAGCTTGCGGTTTCGGAAATATAAGGTGTCAAAAATTCAAATTTTACGAATTTCAAGAGGTGATAACTTGAGAGGGGGTGGAGATGGAAAAAAATTTTCTTCTAACAAAATGAACTATTTATTAATATCTAAAAGCTCCTAAAATTTCAAGCTTTTACAGTCTGGGGTCTAGAAAAAAAACGACATCAAAAATTTGGAAAAAAAGGACTTTAAATAACGGTAAATTTGAACGGCCATTTTGTTTTTCTTAAGTTGAACTATAATATACCGCGCAAGGGGAAGCAAGCCACTGCCTTTCTGCGTTTGCAAAATTTCAAAAATGCTTATGGTTTCATTGCAACAAATAGTTAAAAAAGGCCATTTTTAGGGTTTTGGGGGGGTATAACTTCTAGAGGGGGGGAGATAGGTAAAAATTTTGTTCTACGGAAGTAAGTTTCTAGTAAAGATCTATGTACGTATTAAATTTCAGCTTTCTATCTTCAAAGGTGTAGAAGTTTTGTAAACAGACACACGGACAGACGGACGGACGGACGGACGGACGGACGGACGGACGGACGGACAGAGTGAAACTAATAAGCACTTTTTTCAAAAAATTTTTTGGAAAAGTGCTAAAAACACTCTTGTTTTTATATTTTGAATAAAATTTTTTATACCTCCATTTACATTCACACATACGAGTACATATATTTTTTTATTACACGAATTTGAATGCTATATATTCACTTAAATATTTCCCGTATACTAATGTAGATGTAGATCGATAAAATGTAGATATAAGATATTCATGAAGTTTTGGAATAAGTTTTTAAGTTGAAAAAGTTTTTCCAAAAAAAATTTTGTTGTTAAAAAATTTTAATGCAATTTTAAAATTTATGAGATTATTGAACATTGTATTGCATATACGAGTATAAAAGATTTAAAATTATTTGGCAAATTTATTTTATTTTGTACTTTTGTTTTGCTCTGCTAGTTTTTCTTTTTTTGTTATTCTAAGAAAATGCAATAAGTTTTAATTTATAAGATAAAAAATTGTTCTTTTTAGCACTTTTCCAAAAATTTTTTGAAAAAAAGTGCTTATTAGTTTCACTCTGTCCGTCCGTCCGTCCGTCCGTCCGTCCGTCCGACCGTCCGTCCGTCCGTCCGTCCGTCCGTCCGTCCGTCTGTCCGTGTGTCTGTTTACAAAACTTTTACACCCTTGAAGATAGAAAGCTGAAATTTTGTACGTACATAGATCTTTACTAGAAACTTATTTCCGTAGAACAAAATTTTCACCTATCTCCCCCCCTCTAGAAGTTATACCCCCCCAAAACACTAAAAATGGCCTTTTTTAACTATTTGTTGCAATGAAACCATAAGCATTTTTTAAATTTTGCAAACGCATAAAAGCAGCGGCTTGCTTCCTCTAGCGCGGTATACTATGGTTAAACTTTAGAAAAACAAAATGGCCGTTCAAATTTACCGTTATCTAAAGTCTTTTTTTTCCAAATTTTTGATGTCGTTTTTCTTCTAGACCCCAGCTTGTAGAAGCTTGAAATTTTAGGGGCTTTTAGACATTAATAAATAGTTCATTTCATTAGAAGAAAATTTTTTTCCATCTCCACCCCCTCACAAGTTATCGCCTCTTGAAATTTGTAAAATTTGAATTTTTGACACCTTATATTTCCGAAACCGCAAGCTTTTTCAAATTTCTATAAACACAAAAAGCTAACGGTAAATTCCATGAAATTAAAAAATATAATTATTTTTCTTATCTCACACAATTAACCTTTAAAATCGAGCATTATGTTAACCCCTTTTTATATTAATTTTTGCTTTATTTCAAAGACTGCATATATGCGTCATCCTAAGTATATGCAATCCTAGCAATAGTTTTGTATATGAATGAAAATAATTTTAATAGTATGATAGGTATACATAGACTGTATTCAAAAGCAGAATTTTCCCTTGTTGAAGGGAAAAGTGCTATAATACAAACCATTGGTTTGACCCAACTTTATTAAGAATTAATTTAATTTTATAAAATATTTGTGTTTTGTATTAAAGCTATTTAGTAGCATTCTTGGAAAAGGTTAATGATTTTGTAAAATTTTTAATTTCATTGTTTTATAGTATAAAATAAATTTTGGGGTTTTACATTTTTTATATCAAATTCTTAAATATTAAAATTATAACAGTTAAGAAAATATCTGTATAGGGTAAAGTTATCGGTGAGATTTGAAAAATTCTTTGAGTAAAATATATTTTTGAGTTGAGGTTGCCTGTTTAGTTTCGTAAATATATAAATGAACATATAAATAATTGATAACTATAGCATAATTGAAAAGCTAAATGATATTTAAATTGAGTCTTTTATGTATAGCAAAAATTACAACCAAATATTTATTAATGCGGTATTATACTACGAAAAACTATACGAAAAAATCATCTAAATAGTGTTTAAAAGATGTTAATAAAGATTTTAGTCTGCGTTATATAAGAAAATCTGATCAGTAGTGCAGGGGTTATGGTATTGGTTTTTTTAATCGATGTTTCTCGGGTTCGAACCCTCGTTGGGCCACTATAAAAAACTATATTTAATATTATATAGCTTGATGTATAATATTATAAAAATAAAATTTTAATATAACACTAATTGCCCATGCATCCAAAATATTGTTTCTTAAACTGGAGCTTGACAAAGTCAAGTAGAAGCTCCTAATGCTCCAATGTACAATAAAGGAAAAAAATAAAAGAAGGTAGAGTAGGCGTAAGGTTTTGACTCTCACTCTAATCATGACTCTAATTCCGACTCTGACTCGGAGTCCGATTTTAACTCGGAGTTCGACTTCGTTTCCGATTCCGAATCCGACTTACTGCCTTTGAATTTCAGTCCGACTCTGATTACAACGCCGGTTAAGATTCCGAATCCGAATCTAAACCCAACTTCTGCTTTTTTAATCGGCTTGTTGATTTTCTCACTGAAGGCCAATTACTCCCTGTCTCTTATTCCTTAAAATTGTTTTCTAACCATTTATAACTATAAAAAACACAGAAAACCGTCTGAAGTGTCTCTTATAAATCATTACTCATTAGTTTTATACAAAATTGTGAATAAGCTTTATGTTTAAATTTTTGGAAATTCTATAGAATATTATTAAATTATACTTAGTAAACTATTTAGTTTACAAAATACAAATTATGTTTCAATAATTTTACAATTTATTACTCATAATATGAAGTTCATTATGCAATTGACTCATTGGAATAATATATGAGTCTTTTCTTTTAATATCAAATAATGTGGGCTTATAAAATATTCTTAAAACACTATATGTTAAAAAAAATCAAAAAACAAAAAATTGAATACAATGCAAATTTTATTGATAATTTTTTGATATTCGCTAAGAAAGAGGAACCCGACCGAATTAAAAAAAAATTAATTCCTTTGCTTGTGAAATTGTAGTATTTCGTTAAAAAAATTGTAGTTGCCGTAATTTTTTGTTTTCTAGCACAATAAGGATGACATCATGCAGGATTAAAAAGAAATTTTTGTAATTCTTTTTTTTTTTTTTTTTTGAATAAAAATTCAATGATTGTGTACAAATAATATTATATTTTTTTTGTTTAGAATTTTACACGAAAGGAACTTCAGTTTTTTGGCAAACATAGATTAATTTTTATTTTATTGAATCACTGGTAAAACAAAAAAAAACATCCGAATATTTTGCTGACGTAAATGATTGCATGTATAAAATATAACTTTGAAAAAGTATGGAATTAAATAAGAATATGGGGGTAGAATTCCACATAGAATATTATGTAGAATGTACTTTAATAATTTAAATGTATAATTCGAAATTTAGTTTTTGATTTAAGTTTCTGATAGTAGAAATTTGTATACAGGTATACATGTATTAATTCCATATCTTTCTTATGTATAATGCAAAATGTTAAATGAAATTTTTTTTAGGTAAGTGGATAATTTTTTAAGGATCATGATTTCTAAACCCATTTAAACAGCAAATTGAGAAATTAAGAAGGAAGACTGAAAAGGCAGCTTCTTGTTTTTACTCCACTGGGTATCGATGTCTCATTAATATTATCGAATCTCAAAAACACTATACTATTAATAAAAGCTTTCCATGTTTTCAACATAGTATTATAATTGCCTGCTAATATAAATTTGTAATCATTTATTAGCCTAAATAATTAATATTTACTCTTAATAATATGCGTACATATATATATAATTATAATAATAATAATGCTTACCCAAAATTTGATGCAGAAGTTTTAAAATTATTTTCTAGAAAATCACCATTAATTCTAGTACCCATCATGGATATTTGTTGTTGATTTGGTTGATAACCGACTGTTAGGCCCATTGGAATAATAACAGCTCCATTAGAATCATCCTTATGTACTAGTGGAATATTTGCTTTACCGTCACCCATACTTTCTTTTTATTTTTTTTGTTTTATTTTTAATTCTATTATACACTATAATCTTATTGCAGTAGTATACTTTTAATTATAATTTTATAATATTAAATTATTATGTTATATTTGTTTTTTATGTGTGTGTGTCTGTATGTGTTTATGTATATTTTACGATTATATTAAAAATTTAAATTAATTATTTTAATTAATTATATAAATTGGTTAATTTTAAATTTTTAATGAAATTCTTTTTTTTTTGTTTAATGAAATTTTATATTATTTATATATAAATTTTTGTATGTATATAAGTAATAACTAGTATATAATATAATAATATATGTATGTATGTGTATGTATATATTTAATAATAATGTTGTATACAAATTACGAGTAGGTATATAATAACTAAAATTTTTAATATTTTCAATCTTTTTTCTTGTTTTACTTATTATCAATTATTTTTTTTTTTATTAAATTTTATTTTATTTAATATTATTTTATTTTTTTTTTTTGTTGCCTTATTAAATATCGATTTATGAATATTATTTCACAATTTATTATCACATGTACAAGCCATTTGGAATACTAAGTTTCCGATTATTTTATTTGCTTTTCTTTTTTAATTCATTTTTTTGTTTTTCTTATTCGCTCTCTTCTCTTTTATATTTCTCGTTTGTAGTTTTGCTTTTTTTAATGATTTGACCTTATTTTCACTTAATTTTTCATTTTTTTTCATTGCTATTTTTTTTTTTTGTTTCGTTTTTAGCTTTTTTATCGCTTACATGTTAGTTTTTAATACTTTAATTTTTACATTAGGATTAGAATTTGTATTTTTTTTGTTTTACTTTTTTAATTTTTAAAATTGATTTTTTTCATTCAATAAAAAAAAAAAAAAATTTACGTCAGGTGTATAAAATTTTAAATTAATAATTAATATGTTAGATTATTGCAATTATTCGTATATGTGTGTTTGTGTGTGTTTAGTTGAGAATAGTAAAGAGTATTTGCGGAATTATATAAGCTGTATATATATATGTATATATATAAAAAAATGAAAGTTTTACATATTTTTTGTTTTTATTTTTCTTTTTTTTTGAAAATATCCCTTTCGAAATTAAAAAGTTCTGTGTAGTTTTGATCTGTAATAAAAAAGAGAAGAAAGAAAATTTAATTACATAAATATATAAAAATTTTATAATTGTATAAATAATAAACAATTTTAATATTGCACATGCTATATTTCACACCCCTAGAGTAAAATTGTCACAAAGACAAAGGTGAAAAATAGCTTTTATATAAAAATTTTCTTAACTTTAGACTCTTAAAACCCTATCATAAATTATTATTAGAAGCAAATCCTACTTGGTACAAATGATTCGTATTTTATAAATAAATCTTTTAAAGTTCTGATAATGTAACGTCACCTTATCAAAGTAATGAGGTTTCCAAAATAAATTTTAGTTCTTAATTTGAATTTAGATTTCTTCTATGAACAAGTCTTTGATGAACTATTATCTATTATATAGCATATCGGAAAAATTATAACAATAATTGAAGAATAACTACATTTTAAATTACTTATGTTTTGGTTTGAAATTTTAATAAATTTCCTGTTTCATTTTTTACAATATATTTTATAATAATTCTATCTAAATAACCAAACATTATCAATATATTAAATTTTAAAACCCAGTAACTTAAATATTGATTTCTTCGAAATTGCATTTACAATGTATCAGACACATAATATCATCTTCTGAAATATTAACAAAATCGACGAAGCATTATGTTCACAATTTATTTGATGTCTTGTCTGCAATATTGTTAATATTGAAATATCTGCCAAATCTTGTGTTCAAAATTTTTTCGATGCATATGGTGTAATTAATTATACAATAAGAAATTTCATTTTTTACAATTTTGACAAAATCGTTTAATTTTTATTTGACAATTCCGAAGAAACCCTATATGATTTGTTTGTGGGTTTCTAGGGGGTGCAATTTATATAACATTAGTGTTTATTTTGTATTGTACATGTACATACACATATTTAAATACAAATTATATTTTTTTTTTTGTAATTTAATTATAAAAAATATAAAGTAGTACAAATATAATTAAGTTTTGAATAACAGAATTATGTAACAATGTAATAATGAATTTAGCTTGTATTAACTAAAAAAAACATATTTTAATTTTAAGTGTTCCGTTAATTCCAAGGATTATTTCACAGTTTATAGTAGTCACAATTGTAAATTTTTATTATAAAAAAGTCTTTACTTTAAACTGCTTTAAAACTATCAAACACAAAATTGAGGACATAAAATATTGAAAATATTCTTTTATATATATGACTTTTGCCATGTAGCATAGTCGATAATTTCTTGCATCAAAATCACAATAATTTTTTTAAATTCCGTTTAAAAAAATTGCTTCAATTATCATTTCCTAAATATATTACTCACCAAAAAAAATTTTTGTTATCTGTCTGGGAATCAATTATTATTTATGAGTAATATTAAATGTATGTATGTATGTATATGAGAAAAAGACAACCATGTCGAAATTCATATCATCAAGTTTGATTTAAAGAGTTTTTAAGCCATTTTAATGCAAATTAATTTGAGCCAACATATTGCCATACATGAGGAAGTTTTCCTTAAAATAAAATATCAAATGAAATTATTCGAGCATGAAAAAACTTTTAACAAAAAGAATTTAATGCACAAAAGATTTAATTGGATAAAAATTTTAATATTATGAGTATGCCAAGAAGGATTCATTATGAGAGTCCAATGCCAAGAATCTCAAATATGAATTTTAATCTCAAAAAACAAAAATCTTTCAAATTAAATTAAAAAAAAAAAACTATTTAAAAATTTAATGAAATTTAAGAATTTTTATACCCGTACGAACGTATGTTCGAAGGGTATACTAAATTTGCCTTACCGTTTGGAACGCTAAGAAATAACGGTGTTAGATATAGACTCAAGTGTATGTTTTTGATCAGCGTCAAATTCTGAGTTGATTTAGCTTTGTCTGTCCGTCTGTCCGTCCGTCCGAACGATAACTCAAAAACTAATTGAGCTAAGTTCGCCAAATTTTCACAAATGATTTATTGTAGTAAGTGCCAGAACCCTATTTAAATTGGACATGATCGGGGTACCGGTTCGGGTAGCTGCCATACAACTTCAAAATTTATTTGGCTATATCTCAGAAACTATAAAAGTTGTGATATTGAGATTTCACACAAGTGAATATATTAGTAGAGCTGATGTGCTTGATAAAATTCGCTAAAATTGCTTGGCTCTTTCTGGTAGGTGCCATACAACATCAATAGTAGTTTGGCACAACCAGTATTTTGAATAACACATAGTACTGAAATTTTGCATAAATTAATATGGTAATACGGCAACTTAAAGTCATAGTCTGCCCCATAGTTAGTTATGGCACATTAGCTATTCGCACATAGGATAACAAATTCGTACGGGTATCACAGAGTTGACAAGGTCAACTCTATTTTTTTTCTCGTTTAACTATAAAATTTTTAAGTCGCTACAAAATGTTTTTTCGTTTAATTTTACTACATTTAACATGGGAAAATTAAATTATATGTTATGTACAGAGGGATTAATAAATCATCGAACTTATTTATTAAATGTCGTGTTTGATGAGTCAATATATTATTTTTTTCAGTTTTTAAATTATATTTTTTCAATTAAATATTCATTTTATATTTTCTTTCCCAACCATATAATTAAAAATCAAATTAAATTGAAAACTATTACTTTATTATAAAATGTTAGTACCCACTCAAAAATTCTTTTACTGCGGAATAAAATTTTTAGTTTTATAAAAGGACAATTATTATAACCACAATCAAGTGGGAATACATATGCGTGCATACCAATATGTCATAAAAAATATACAAAAAAAAAATTAAAGGATAATTAAATTTTTTATTTGTACAAATTTTAGTAATATTATAATGGAATTAAATTATAAATTATTCAAGTTCGATAATTAATAATATGTTTGTCAATTATTGTGTTTTCTTCTAATCGATGAGTACGTTTTTAGTTATACGAGTATAATTTAAATTGTTTATAAAAATTCATAGACAATTTTATGTTTTCCATTCATTGGAATGGAAAATTTAAAAAATTATTAAAATAAAACTATACATGCAAGCAGGGAGGATATAGTGTGTTTCGATTTTAAACCGAATATTTAAAGTTATTGGTTAACTTAATGTGACATTGCAGATTTGTAAAGTTTGTTATATTATTCTTAAAAATATCGTCGCCAGTCATAGTTATTTTGTAAATACAATTGGGCGTGTGTATTTCTAGTCTAATTACATTCTTATAAAAAATTAAAAATCAAGTAAAATATTTGAAAAATGCAAAATATTTGAATAATTCTCATATACGAAACAAACGTCCTTTTGTATGAGTTGTACAAATTTAACAAAAGAAAATTCGAATTCAAGAAAGTTGCTAAAATCTATATGACGTGACTATACATTTTTCACATGATGTACAACAATTCCTTGAGACGAACGATTCTGATGAATTTTAGCACTTTGTAAGGATCGATAGACCGGACTAAAAATTTCTTTTTTCTCGCGGGCCACAACCCTGCTCTCTCCCAAAAGATGTATAGAATTCTCCTTAACTTCTCTACAAAATCTGCCGTGGCAATTGACCATCATTCGCAGTGGCTAGATAAGAAATCCATGAATATTCTCGTTTGGTTCTTGCCCATTTCAATTATATGTTTTTTCATTCCAATTTCAAAGTACCGTAAAAGAGGTCAGTTGCTTCGACCACGCCACCTCCATCTTATTCCTTAACTTAACCTTATACCGTGTGTGGTTCGACTCAAGAGAAGAAGGGTTCTGGCCCGATAAATTATATAGGTTTTTTTCAAGTGAAGAGTTTCATGCTAGAAACAAAAATTGGTATTCCAGCCGCGTGTGTGAAATTCGCTTCGTTTTAATTGAATGAAGCAAAGCTTGTATAAAAAAATAATAAAAATATATTGTTAGTACGTAATTTTTATTGCTCGGATATTATCGATACGAAAATTCATTATTTATTGAACACTCAATTATTACCATGAGTGTTTAATAGAATTTCAATGAAGAGTTGCTTCCTTTCATATAATAGTTTCAATTAAATACGTGACTATAGCTACAATTCTATATATAAGACATAATCTTTATCAATATCTTAAATATTATACAAACGACATTGTTTTAATTGTACAATACGTTCAGGATCAGTGTAAGAAACTTTCCCATTCACTATTGAATAGAATAATTTCATTATAACACTAGATTGTGAAAATTACAATAACTTTTCTTTTAAATATCAAAGAAATGAAGAAGGATATTGTATTAAATTAAAAAACAAAAAAACATAAAAATAAAAGAAGAAATTTGTGTTGTATTTAAATTGAGAAAAAAAAAATTCCATTTGTCTATTTTGCCATATCTGCAATTTTTTCTTTTTTACAATTCCTTACAAAAGAAAAAGTACTCTAATAACTGAAACGATAAACTTTTGACCTATAAAAGCATTTCAAATTATTAATCGCATTAAAGTTATGTGTATACAAAAATTGTATATGTAGTCGTATATATGTATGTGCATTCAAGAATATTATATAAAAGAATAGAACTTATAATAATCCACGAGAAATGTACGTGAGGTCTAAATTTAGAGTTTTTTTTTTTTTTGATAAAAAAAAACGACATGATGATAAAATATTATAGAGTTAAATTTTGACATTTTTAATATTAAATAACGAAAAAAATTTTAAAGTGATGCGATATTTATTAAGATTTTTAGCCACACTCACATATAGATACACAAAAAAAGTCAACTTTTTATAGCCCGGTATTAGGGTATTTAAATGCGGGTATTATGTTTTTAAATTACAAAATATCATAAAGTATTTTAAAAAATTTTCCATTAAATTAATGTTACAATTTTTATATTTGTCCTTGGAAAATATTAAATTTTTTTTTCGTTTTTGTTTTTTTTCTGAGGGTAATTAATCTTTTTTAATATAATAAAAAAGGAATCTGATGTGGTCGGAAAAATACCAACTATATGTGAGTAATAATAAATTA